ATTTTATTATATTACAGTTAAATAATTAATTTAATATAATAATTCGGAAATGTAATTAATTAATTCAAGAAAAACCTGAGTTCTGTAATTTAAAATTTTGGTACCTGATTTTTAATTTGCTGAAAGTAAACCCGTGAATCATAAACTTTTCCCTTTTTCTAATTCACCCAAATTAATTGCAATATCATATCATTAAATATCACATTTAATGATTTATATCAATTAGATTCAATTAATTCCAACATTAATAACTACAAATTGCCAAATGCAAATTTGTTCACAGAAATTCATAGCCATAAGAAACCAGCTTCAAGCCTTGAAGAATGAGTAAATAAATTTTCAGAAAGTTACAAAATAGGAACTCGTTCAAGAAACCGTTAACAATCCAAACATTGATACACGAACTCTTTCCATTAGTCCGTGTATCTTATACCTCGAAAAGGGGCTAATTGAAGGTATATAAAGCTCTTAAAACTAACCCAATACCACGAAGAAATTACACAATGTTTACCTCATCAAAATTGAGACATTTACAAAAGCTCAGGCTCTATCTAAGGTAAGTAGAAGCAACCCAAAGGAAAATGTAGCTTATCAGTGAAGTTGTCACTTCCAAACTTCTAGACCCTTTCAGTATGGGTGGCATCACAGAGACCATTAAAAATGTTCCTAGAAGCCAGGAGATAACAAAAGTCCCAGCCCTGAAAAACAGTGAAAGTCAGCAATGATTTGAGCAAGAAAGTACGGAACACATAATAGTAAATAATATGATGGGAAATTATTTTTAAAGAAACTTAGTCGAGGTCAAATTGAAAAAGAGCCTAAATACAAAGTTTTACATATAAAAGGCATTCTTTTGCAGTAACGAGTCAGCTAAAGCCATGTTAAAAAAAGGTCTTCACCACCCCTTCCCCTTCTTGCTCAAAAGTAGAAACCCTGGAAGCACCTTAGGAGCCTGTAAGTTACTCAGGAGCTCCTAAATAAATGAAACTGGGAAGTGGGGTTGCAGCTGGGAGAGGTGGAGAGTATATAGAGAGGTGCAAGGTTAATAAAGAAGAAATTCTAGAGTTATGGGTGGTTACAGTTCATTATTTTTGTGGAGCAAACCTATATAATTAGTAGCCTTCAACGAGCATCAGATATTTGAAGCAAACCAAACAATGAAGAGGAATAAAAAGGACTGATCCTTCATCCTCAAACTGTTCCAATCTCTATTTCTGCCCATCTGAACCGAATGACATGCATGCAAGTCGCACCACCGCTCCGGTTATTCAAGAAGCAATGCAGTAAGCATATCAATAAGCAATTCTATTTCAGCAAGCATTTCAAATCCATCCATCATTGAAGAAATGTTGGTGTTTTATCAGTGACCATGTGACAAGACAGAGAAAATTAACAGGGAAGAAGAGAGAACGGAGATGAAGATTTGATTCAGGAGAGTGAAATGAAATCTCTCAACATGCACCTACATTTGAAAACAACGGTGTGGGGGTACTAAAGATTGCTCCTAGTCCACCAATTTTAACTAGAGGAATCCAATTGACCTATATCTAATTATGGTGCGCTCCTTTATTCTATACGAGGATTGTGCGAGGCTGCTTGGAGGACAATTGATGGAAAACAAAGAGTCCACTCAAAATGCCTTGTCAGTCAGATCTAACAAAAATCTGATTATTAATTTTTGCCTCCAGACTAAACCAGATATGAAATGCATCTAATGTTGTTTATATGGCTACTCAAACAGGCACCTACAAGATCAATATCACATAAATCCTAAATTCCTAAATCCTCTCATTCTGTGAGTGTAAGAAGAAAGAGAGATAATAAACTCAGACGGGAGAGGTTAGGGGGCTTAACAAGCTATGTAGGTTTAAGGAAGAGGAAATGGGTACGGGTAGACAGTTCATAATTTTGATATTGCAAAGTGTACAAGTCCAAGACCAAGCTGAAGGTCGAAAAACTTTACAGGTTTGATCGACATCTAAGGGATACTGAGAAGAGGCAATCTAGACAGTGAATGTAGAATGTATGCTGACATTCAAATGCTGTTGCATTAGTACAATTAAGCAGAAATTGTGAAGTCTTAGAGAATGCTCAGTTCATCGCATTTGACGAGCATCAGATTGACAAACTTCCACAAATGTAGTCAGGTTCATCCAGCACATGCAAGTGTAATGGAAACAACCAGCATAGAGGATGGGGCTCCAACAAATGGGGAAAAATTGGAACAAGTGCCAGTAGTGGCAATACAAACAAGTGGCCACTCTGCCCAAAGTGCCAAAAAATCATAAAGGAGAGTGACTGATTGGGAAAAGAAAAAAAACTGTCAGAAATGTGAGAGGTAAGGAATGCTAGGAGGACAACCTAAGAAAACAACGATTGCTGTAAGGCAAGGTTATGGCTTATTCTTTAACCCAGCCGGAGGTGGAGCACGATCTGAACAAGTTAGCAGGTGTCATAAGAGTCCTGACTCACCTCCTTTCATATTAATGGAATATGGAGATGCATATTTTTTTACCTCTCGCACATTTATTTCAAGTCAGATATGGAATGTGTACCAATTGAGAATATAAGAATTTTCTCTCATCCGGCTTGGCTCGGCCCATGTGAGTCATATCTACGAAGATACTTAGTGCTGACCAAATAGCCAATGACTTTAAGTCAGAAATCAATGGGTTGAATCATATAAACAGACTTAGTCCTGTTAGATATGAAGGACTTCGACGTCATACTCATAATAGACTTGTCGAAGATCACAAAGAACTTATTAGAGTCCCACATTGGCCGGTGATATTTACACGATCCACTTAATAAGGTAAAGGCAATCCTCCCCTAACAGTTTTGTTAGGTTGAGTTAGGCTCAATATTCTTTCTAACATGGTATCAGAGAAGGCCCAGTTTTGCAATGTTGGGTGCACCCAATATCGATTTGTTCGCAATTGTTTGGCATGATCCACGCTATGCGCGGGGAGACGTATTAGAATCCCACATTGGCTGGTGATATTTACACGATCCACTTAATAAGGTGAGGGCAATCCTCCCCCGACAAGTCGATTTTGTTAGGTTGAGTTATGCCCAATATTCTTTCTAATATGGTATCAGAGCATATTAACACAACCTAATAAAACCGGCTTGTCGGGGGAGAATTGCCCTCACCTTATTAAGTGGATCGTGTAAATATCACCTGCCAATGTAGGACTCTAATACGCCCCCGTGAACAAATCGATATTTAGTACATCCAACAGAACTCCCCATGTGTGCATCATGAAACATCATGCGCAAAATGGACTACCTATCGAAGATCACAAAGAACTCCCATGTGTGCATCAAGAAACAGCTTATTTTTCATAAATAATTAATTATATTATGCTAAAATTCGAGGCAAATATCAATTCATCTTGTTTAATAACGAAATGTAATTAAACTTAAAAAAAATGTGAAATGAAGCAAATTTAGAGTATTGAAATATGTTTGAAACTAACTAGGAATGGAATGCGCTGTTTCAATCTCTATTTATGCTTGTTTGAACCAAATGGTATGTGCACAGCGGCATCTCTGCTCCAAACATTCAAGAGGCAATGCAATTTGTATATAAAAAAGCAATACTATTTTCTCAAAGTGTTTTAAATAAATCCATCATTGGAAGTAATCTAAATGGAAAGTATTAGTATGGTCAGTGTTAGTGCGACAAGACATGTAGGAAATGAATAGAGGAAGAAAAGAAAACGAAGATGAAATTTGAATCGGGGAACTGAAATCAAATCTCTTGATCTTCATCTACATTGGAAAATAACAGCATTGGTGGTGTAGACTGCTCCTCCTCCGTAAGATTAACTTCAAGCATCCAATTGGCCTATTTCTAATGACACGCATAAATGTTGTGTATAATTCTAGAGGAGGATTGTCCAGGCTGCTTGGATGACAATTGATTGAAACAAAGAGTTTACTCAAAATGCCTTGGCAGTCGGATCCAAAAATGTGATTACTAGTGTTTGCCTCCTAACTAAGCCAGATATAGAAGCATCTAAAATCGTTCATAAAGCTACTCAAAGAAGAACTCTGCAAGATCAATAAAAATCCCAAAATGTGTTTATGTGTAAGAAGAGGAAAGATAATAAACTACAGCTAGGAGAGGTTCGAGAGCTTGGAAGCTGCAGGGTTTTAAGCAAGAAGAAGATTATAGGTGTATGGGTGGCCACAATTCATAATTTTGATTGCATAGTGTTCAACTCCGAGCACAAGCAAAACTTCGAAGCATTATCAAGTCTGCTCCACGTCTAGTGGATGCTGATTAGAAGAGCGAGACACTTTGAGCGTGAACAGAAGACTGACATTCAAAAGGTCATCGCAATAGTACAATAAGGCACATACCACGAGGTTTCAGAGAAAGCTCAAGTAGTCACCTCGACAAACATCAAATTGACGAATTCCCCAAACAGCAGCCATAATTATCTGCCCAATGTAAGTGGCACATCTAACAAGAAGAATTATATAGCTCCAACAAAAGAGAAAAGCCTAGAACAAGTGCCAATACTGGCGCTACAAATAAGTGGCCACTCTGCCAAAATGCCAAAAACATCATAAAGGAGAGTAATTGTTCAGAAAGTCAGTCTACTATAAATGTGACAGGTGAGGACACTCTGCCAATGAATGCTGAGAGGGACAACCTAAGAAAGCTAACTGTCTGACGAAAGGCAAGGCCAGGGTTTTTTCTTTAACGCAGCCAAAGGCAGAGCAGAATCCAAGCTTGTTAAGCAAGGTATTATACCAGTCTCTGAAAACCTCCTTTCATATTCAAAAAGATCACGGAGATACACATTCTTTTATCTCCCCTATTTTTATATTGAAGTCATATATAGAATGTGTACCCATGACAATATTTTACAAGTTTCTCTCATATCTACGAAGATGGTTAGTACCATCCAGATAGCCCAAGGACAATACAAATAACTATCCAGCGTGTGCATCAAGAAACAGCTTAACCAATATGTCACGTTTTCTTTTCTAAAAATAATTAATATTACTCAAGTTCAAAGCAACTATTAAATTCATCTCATTAAATAAATAAGGAAAAATTACAGCCATGATACCAAATCTTTCACTTAGTAGCAGATTTTGTCCAAACCTTTCATTTGTGCCACCGTAGTTACCAAAACTTTAAAAAATTCACAGTTGGAGACCAGATAAAAGGTTTCCATCCGTTTGGCCGTTAGTTGACTATTTAAAAAAAATTGACCTCTTTTGACCAATGTATAAAGAGTAAAATGGTACTTTTCTCACATAAAAAGAATAAAATAAAAAAAGAAGAAAATTCTTCTTCTCCCACCTTTCACCTCCTAGCCCCAAATAAACAAAAAAGGGGGAAAAAAAAACTCATCTCCTCCTTAAATCTTCCCCAATCCCTCACCCCAAAATCAATACACTCCCACCCAATTGCCGGCCAATGGCACCACCGCCTCATTGCCGGCACCAACACCTCACTATAGGTACCAATTTAATTCGAATTTGTGAAAGAACATTTGTCTATGAGTTGGAAGTTTTGGGCACCCCTGGAAATTGATGTCTCATCTATGAAGACTGGAATGGAAGATTTTCAGGCATCAATTTCTATAATTTCACATACCCAATATATTAAGTCAATGTCTGATGAAAACTCTACAAATGGAAGCTTTCTTTTAGTTTTTAAAGAGAGAAATGGAAGATTTGGACTTATAAGGATTTGATTTTGAAGGGAAGAATTTTTTCCCCTCCGCAGGGAGGGATTTCCACGTTTTATCAACGTAAAAAATTGGTTGATTCCGATCGTTGGTGGCAAAGAGCATGGCCATGAAGATTCTACCGACTTAGGTGCCAGCAGCAACATCAAAGTAATCTACAATTCTGGCATCTGGATTTTCAAACTTATTCTTCAAAGCAGTTTCCAAAAAGGCCAAGGCTTCCCTAATATGATGCTTCTCATTCCACCAACGACAATGAGGCAGTGGTGTCGATGGCCGGCAACTGGGTGGGGGTGGAATTGATTTTGAGGTGAGGGGGTTGGGGAAGATTGAAGAAGGAAATGGGTTTTTTCCCCCTTTTTGTTTATTTTATTTATTTTTTATATTAAAATTATAAAGTTACCATTTTACCCTTTTCTTATTTGTTCAAAATTATTAAATTTTTAATTTTTGAGGTCAACTGACGGTTTTTGGGTCAAACTGACGGAAAGCGTCAATCTAAACTTGAGATGTGAATTTTTTAAATCTACGGTGGCACAAATGAAAAGTTTGGGCAAAATCTGCTACTAAATAAAAGATTTGGTATCGTGGCTGCAATTTTCCCAATAGATAAATATAACTAAACTAGAATAATGTGTTTCAAATGAAGCAAATTAGAGAATAGACATGTAATTAACTAGGAAAGGAATAGTAAGCATTCCTTGCCTCAACCTGTTTCAATCTCTATTTGTGCCCCTATCTGAAACGAATGGTATGAGTGCAAATCAAACCACCACTCCGGTTATTCAAGAGGCAATGTATAAACCATATTAACAAGAACTTCTATTTTCAAGAAGCGTTCTAAATTGATCCATCATTGGCAGGAATCTTATTGAAGAAATGTTAGTGACTGTCGGAGTGTAACAAGACGTGCAAAAGGAATAGAGAAAGAGGAGAGAACGACGATGAAAATCTGATTCAGCAGAATGAAATAAAAAAATCTGATTACTAGCGCTGGCCTCCTAACTAAGCCATATATATAAGTAAAGTTAATAAAGCTACTCAAAGAGGCAATCTGCAAGATCAATATTGATAAAAATCTCAAAATTCTAAGCTGTGGGTGTGTATGTGTAAAAGAAAGAAAGAGACAGAGATATAATGAACTGCAGCCGAGAGAGTAGCAAAGTTCAAAGGAAGAAGATATTCAAGGGTATGGGTGGATACCTAGCGAAGTGTCCAAGTCCGAGTAGAGCAAAAGTATGAAGAATTATCCAGATTTGCTCCACTTCCAATGGACATTGAAAGGCAAGTCGGACTTTGAGCATCAATTGAAGATTGACATTCAAAAAGGGTGTCGAAATAGTACAATTAGACACATAGCACGAGGTTTTAGAGAAGGCTCAAGAAGTCGCCTTTGAAAAGCATCAGACCAAAAAAGTCCCCAAACATCAGGCATGCTTATCTGACAAACGCAAGTGGAATGATCTAACAAGAAGAATTGACAGGCCCCCAACAAAAGGGAAAAGATTGGAAAAAGTGCCAGTCGTGGCGATACAAATAAGTGCCACTTTGCCCAGAGAAGGGCTGGATAAGAAAAGCATGGGGTGAGGTAAATAGGAACGAGGGGTGCGTAATAAGGAGTAAGTTCATATTGAGATTCTGACAAATTTACTTGCTTATGTAATTTTGAAAATGAAGCCCTAATATCATTTTGTCCCTCCAACTTCATCCAGCCCTAAACAGCAACCCTTTACTTATATGCTCTAGATAAAATGGACATGGCATCTAGAAATTAGAGCTAGGCACTATAACTATGGACACGGTGCGTAAATAAATTCTTTTAAAATTTTACGTCAATCTAGGAAATCCATTAGTCTAAAAAATGACACCTTCATTTAGATATATAAAGAGCTTACCCATAAAGAAAACCACGGAGTTTGCTCTTCAGCCGATCATAGATGAAATACATGGTAACTAGTAAAGAAATGGCAACTTGAAGGGTAGGCCCTTCTTCAGTTGGAAAGAGTACTGTGAGCATTCCAAGCACCACGAATACAATGGAAGTTTTTACGATGACATTCGTTGATGGAGTTCTGAACCTGTTCACAACAGCCTGCACAACGCGAGACTGTGTTACTTCCCTGACCTTTTTTTTGATGTTGATTTTAGGGTTCTTCCTTTCATAGAACTTTTGCATTATTATTTTATCATGTGCTGATTCAACAGCATCCACACTTGGCTTGTGCCCTCCATATGTTAGTATCAGAAAATTCCTGGCAGCTTGAATTTCATCTTCAGAAGCTTCCCTACTAATTCCAAGTCGCTTATACGGGTCCCTTACATTGATTCTCGGAAATATTGCTGTACCTGGAAAAAGGTGAAAAGATAAAAAGTTCCAGAAATTTCAGATAGCTAATTTACAAAAGTTATTGTCAGAGATGAACAACAACCAGACTGAACATTAAGAATGCTCAGTGTGCCAAGTGTAAGTCAAAGTTCATTTACAAGGGAATATAATGGTACTTTTGGTAAAATTTCATGTTAAGCACCAACAATGCTATAACCACTATGTATGTTAGGCATGGGAGTTCTACTACACCCAATATGACAAGAAACAAAGGATCTACCCGTCCAACAAAAGTGTGTCACAAGGCAGACAATAATTTGTGGATGCCCATTTTTAGAAAAAAGTAAGAATTTAGGACACATGATTATTTGTGACTTAACCAGGTATGAGTCTCTGGTCCCTTCCCCAAGAGAAAAATCAATAATTTTGAGCCAATAGAAAAGCATCATGTTTTGCTGTTAAGCATTCATCATAGACCTTGATGAGTAAACCCAATAGATGGCTTGAGGAAGACTCAAGGCTGTTTCATCTTGACTCAAAAATCAAATAAATTTCAATAAGTGGGTTTCGTTTTCACTACATACCAACAAAGAGACTAATCATCACTCATTCACCATCTCAAGCACAACACTATATTGGTCACAGTGATTCCTACCGGTGTTATTTCCTCGAGTATAAGAATCCACCAGACACCAAATGGCTGAATAAATAATTATTCCTTAGCATCATAGGTTAATAATTTAACTACACAACTTCAATCAAATAAAATCCAGATTTAACTAAGAAATGCACAAAGTTTACCAGCTGATTCATTTGTAGCATCATCATAGGACGCATCCATTGCGCATTTGAGCAAAGGAGATCTATGTATACGTTGCTGAGTTGAATCAGTCCTATTATTTCTGTGAAAATCAAGATAACAAATAAAGTTTGGTACCTGTGACACATGTGACTACAAACTACGCAAGATATAAGATGTACCTGTATAAACAGAGAAAATCATTAAATCTCCTATTATTAGGAAATGAAGTAACTCGGTCATTACTCAACCCCGCATCTCTTGCAGGTAAGTGAAGGCTATATCTCAAGGGGCTATAAGTTAATCCAGATGATGACATTGTCGAGTCTCCAGGTAACTGATCAACCTCAGCACCCTGCAACTTGACTTTGTAAGGAGAAAAAAAATTAAGCAAGGATCGAAACCAACAAAGCATGTCCAGAGACTCATACAACATAGGAATCCACTTTAACATAACCGAGAAACCTCTCTCAGTCATATCATTTCTTTTTCAAAACCATGTTATACATGAAGGACCACCAATGAGATAATGTGTTGGAATTTTGTATTGGAA